GTTCTTTATATGTATAGATTCGTATTCGAGTCTATTTTGCAAAGGAAGAAATTGAATTAAATTCCAGTGTGTATATCAGTACAGAATATGGATTCTTTAAAGGTAGTGCGTGTTGTCTGAATTCTGAAAAATTGATGGGTTGTTGTGTAAGTAATATATAATTGATGTACTATGCTGGAATTTTTGGTGTTAAGAATCTATGTGATAAAATGGTGAAGGACCATTTTATGTAATTGGAAAAGTTGATGTCGATTTTTTTTTAAAAAAAAAGAATTTTAAAGTGTTAAAGATTTGGTAGAAAATGAGTTTCAAGTGTATTATGGAATTTTTATGGGATGTGTTATGTTAGTACAATACTAACATAAATATTGTTATGAATTGTGATTTTATACAGATTTTTATTTAAGTGTGATTGAAGCAAATCAAGTATAAAAGAGATTTTGTGGATCGTAGTGAGGCATACATATTGTGGATTATATAAAGTGTCAAGGTGATTGCAATACATGCATGACATGGTACATAGATGTTTTATACATCGTGTACATAGATGTTTTATACATCATATGGAAGACTTGCGACAAGTCGACTTTGTTTTATCAATTTGAGATTTTATATGAAAGTTATTTTGGGTATGAACTGCCCTAATGTTTATACATGGTTACACGTTTCCATGGATGATTTAATTGATGACTATATGCCCAAATATATTATTGAGGTTCAGTGGTATTAATGGCATGCCATAGAGTCTAGCAGCTGCAGAATTAAGTAGTACTATAGTGTCAAATAAGATACATAGTACAAGTTAGGTGGGTAAAACCTGACCTCAGCACTACGGTGCATTATTAGGTGAGCGAAGCTCGACCTCAACACTTTTGTGCACTATCTGACTCCTATACCGGGTTCCTCATAGATTGAGAATTGTGGGTAATAGTTGTGATAAAATGATTTATTATATTATGTTGTTTTGATTTTGGCCCTTTAAAAAAATAACATTAAATTTCATACATGATTTGTATTGCACCTTTATGGTTTTAAATTTGCCTCACTAAGTATATACTTAGCGTGTGATGATTTTCACGCGTAGGTAAAAAGCCCGTAGAGGAATAGAGAGTTCAAGGCAACATCAAGCATCAAGAAGTATATTTCTTTATCAGTAAGACATCCTAATATGTAATGTAGACTTAATTAGTGGTATGTAATTATTATGTTTTATTTCCTTTATTGAACAAAATTGAAAAAAAATGGAATTTTATGAACTTATAGGTATTTTCGGAGTTACTATAGCAATGAACAGTAACCACGTTTTAGCAAAATTTCCAGAATATAAAAGGGGAACCGATTCCCCCCAACAGGGAACCGATTCCCCCACTGTTCACGAGTACTATTCACTATTCATATAAAAAAATCTTTTAAATTAAATTGGTTACAACTAAACATGATTTATATGATATGGTATTTTTATAATATTATTTCCATTTTAAGAAAATAAATTTTAAACCATTTTTGAATTATAAAATGGTTTTAAAAATTCGGATAGCATTTATAATCTATATAGGTATAATTATACGGATTATGGGTGTTACATTTAATGTAAAAATTAATTAACTACACATATGAGACCAATATTATCTTATTCATGCATTTACCAATATCAACATATTCTAATAAGCATAAAGATGTAGTAAAGTATTACCTCGATGTTCGTGCAATACTGATCGACCATTAATTTCCATTCGAACGTCCTCGATTCTTAATTCAACTTCTAATAATTCCTTAAATACATAACAATATCATTTTCATAAAAAACGAGGCTTAATTCTGAAAAACGGATCGAATCGGATGATAAATCAGTGAAAAACAGCTTACTGAGTTCGAATTTGGTGAAACGGACCCCAAAAACGGATTCAAGACGTCAAAAAATTTCAGGATAGGTATACCCAGAAAAAGTCAACGACCGTTCAATGGCCGGTCAACGCGGGTCAAAGTTCTGGTCAACGGTGGCCAATGACGGTCAACGGTCAATGATTTTACACAAATATCACCCTAACAGAAATTAATTACATATTAGGCACCAGTTTAAAAATATTTACAAAACTAGCACCCAAGTTTTTTTCCGCGCGTGCAGCGTCGTGGGGTGCCAAAAATTCCCGGAAAAATATCTAAAAATTATTTTAAGGCATTTTGAGACACTTTCCAAGCTTGGTTCACAATTTTGAACGGCAGAGAGCTTGATTCCGAAACATCGAAAACTTTGACTTCCTCACCCCTCTACGCGCCGGCGACGACGGATACACGGAGGACACCGGTGCACTCGGAATGATGCAAGGAACACAATGGTGCGGGAGGTGTCGAAAACGAGTGGCCGCATTGACGTGAATCGACGAAAAACCAACGAAAATTTAGTTAACATCGACGATACTTCCGACTGAAATTAACGACAAACTACGACGATTCACGAGGAAAGGTTTTAGGGATTTTGTTCATCGGTCGACAACGAACACAATAGTAGTTTCAGTTCGTCAAACGGAGGCCAGACGGTGAGTAGATCGGAGATCAAAGTGAGTTGACTAGAGGAGAGAAAATGAATATTTCTGCAGAAAAACATACGGGAATAGGGGCTTATAATTCACTCCAAAAGAAAATGGTTAAATCATGAGCTTAGTCACTGAATTTCCTGTACTTCTTAAAATGGTATTCTAACTTTGCAATTTTTACAATTTAATCCTCAATTTCTTTCAAAATACCAATTAAATTCACCATTTTATAATTTCTAAAATTTTAGCCCCTAAGTTGGGGTGTTACAATTTCAATTTTGTGAACAAATATATTTGATATTTAAAGATTATATTATTCAAAAATAATTTGAAATTTTGAATATGAATCAGAGAAAACGAATGTATAAGATAATAAAAAAACCTAGTTAACTATAAGTTTATGCACTTTAATAGGGATATATATACACACGAATTAATACAATTATATTATATTAGTGAAGAATATTTAATTTATGGATAATAAAAAATTGAAAATTTTCCCAATGGAAAGGCTGAAATGAAATATTTCTTTTGAATAAAAATTAAAGATAATCATGCTTTGAATAAATACTTTTAGGATCATAATCATGTTTGTAAAGAATACTTTTAGGATCTTCTTGGAAGATCATAACCAAGAAAGATTCAAAGATTTCAATCCATCAATTAATTCATGTACGCTTCCGCAAATCTAGTTTATTTTATTCTTGATGATTTGGCATGATTAGATCCTAGTTAAAATTTATTATGGTTTGGTTCTAACAAGTGGTATCATCACCTCTTCATGTTGAATCAATAAGAATCAATCGGTTTTAGGGTTATAGTTATAAGATTAAATTCTTGTATAAAATTTTGGTATAATTCTTAAAAGTTATAATTATATAAAATTTAGGGTTTATATTTTTATAAATTTATTAAATATATTTAGAGAAATAAATTTATTTATTTATTCTCTTAAATTAAAAAAAATTAAGAACCAGTAAAATGGTGACTTGGATAGTGGGCACAAATGAGTCTGAGATATGAATTAAGAGGATTAAATTTATATCTTAATTATAAAAAAAGGGAAAAGATAACTTCTAATGCATGAATTTAATATATTTTTTATTTCAATCCTTTTAATCTCAGATTACCATGTCATTGAAAAAACTAAAATGGAAAATTTGCCAAGTTCAAGTATGAAAAGATATAAGAAAAAAATAGGGTTCAAACTCTAGATATTTGTCAGTTTTTTCAAGCTGATATATAAAACTTGAGACTCAGGACATAGTCTAAGGGGACTTGTCCCCTTCAAAAAGGGTAAAATTACAGTAAGACCCCTTTAAAATTATAAGATTACAATTTATATAATGAGTATTTACCTATGCAGTTTTCTTTTTCTATAGGAAGAAGATTCCTCTTTTCTACCTCCAAGAGTCATTGAAACGTTCAATACTAGCGACTTATAGCCTCCACTATTCATTGTACGTCTAGGTCTACGTCTTAAGGAAAAGTGATTTAACACTAAGGTTCACATTGACATAATATTCATTCCATATTATAATGTAGTGGTCTCTAAGAAATAGATCAACTTGTATTATTTTTTTTTTGTCAGAGAATTTTTTACTTCACGAGAAAATATATCTTCTTAGAATATCACAATAATAAAAAAAAGATACAAGTTCATTATGTTTATTATGATTTGGTTTTAACATATTCAAGATCGAGCAATTATTTCTCTAGAATGTGATTGTGTTGTCAATAGGTTAAGGTCTAATCAACCTTAGAAAAAGCTAAGTGAACACAACGATCAAACAACCGAAAAACGTGCTAAAAAGAAAAAGAAAAAGAATACAAACCGTCCTTCAGCGGTTATTTAGTAGGTTCGCTTTCTAACCTTGGAATTTTTTTAACATTTTAATTATAAAGGCTAAATTTAAAATTTAATTATTGTGGAAGGACTCGTTACATATTTAAACCCGACCTATTAAGATCGTTGAATGAGTTTTAGAATACAGACATATGACTGCTGTACGCCATTGACAACACTAAATTAAACCTGGATTTGATGCAGTGTTGCCTTAATTGCATGCAATTCAGTGACAACATCCTCAATCTTCATTCTCTTGTCAGGAACTTCAACAGAGCATGCAACTCCGACCTTAGTGAACCAAACCAAACAGTCCAACATGTTCTGATCTCTTGTTTTCTGACTTTCCTCGTTGATTTGTTCAAGCAATCGAGAATCTAAAATCTCCTCCAATTGTTCAGGCAATGCCTTCTTACATAAACTATGAAGGCTTATCCCATCGTCGAACAGATCATCTGTCGGTCTCTTTCCGGTGATCATCTCCAAGACGATAATCCCATAGCTGTAAATGTCCCCTTCGGGGGATGTCGGAAAACCCATTCCGCATTCTGTAACGATACGGTTACATAATAGGAATACATCACAAAAAGGTCTATGTATCTTAAGGGGGGGAAATAAGATCAAAAGATATGAAATTTACCTGGGGCGAGATACCCGATCGTTCCTTTGATGATTGAGGAAGTTGATTGCTTGTTGTCCAGATTACTTGCAGCATAAGAAAGGAGCTTAGCCATGCCGAAGTCACTGACATGTGCAACCATGTCATCATCAAGAAGGACATTGGATGGCTTTAGATCCCGATGAACAATCGGTGTTCGACAATGGCGGTGAAGGTAATATATTGCATTTGCAACATCTATAGCAATGTTTAACATTTGAGCAAAGTCGAGATGACGTGAGAGACCTTCAACATGATCATGATGAAGCCAACTCTCTAAACTTCCATTCGCCATGAATTCCAAAACTATAGCCTTGAAATCATTGCCTTGGAAGTCTATGCTTGAGCAACAAGTTATCAGCTTGACTAGATTCCGATGTCGAACGTTTCTTAAAACCTCACATTCAGCTATGAAACTCTTGACAGCCCCGAGGTTTTGAAGGTTCTGTACTTTGATAGCAACGGGGTTTTCTTGTCGATTAAGAAATCCTTTATAAACAGACCCGAAACTTCCCTCACCAAGGAAGTTCAAGGCTGAGAAACCGTTAGTGGCTTCAACAAGTTCCTTGTATGTAACTTGAAAGAGGCTAACTTGCTGCTTCAAAGACAGAGGAATCATTTCTTTTTGCAATTGTTTTCGCCAACAAAGGATGGCAATGAATGCAACCGAAGCCGAGGCAAGCGAAAGGCTGATCATGATAACGACAATGGATTTCTTTGATAAACCATTTCGGTTTTTCATTGCCTTCTTATCGAAGCATTTCAGAAGCTCTATTTCAGGGATTCCCCCACAAAGATCCTTATTCCCAACAACAGAGAATCGACTGATATTCTTGAAAACCCCTTCTTCCGGAACTTCACCCTCCAATTGGTTGAAAGAAAGGTTTAAATTCACCAAAAAAGGAAGCTTTTGAAGTTCAAGTGGTATCGTGCCAGACAAGTTATTACCGGACAGATCTAAGATTTCGAGACCTCGTAAAGAACCAAGAGCTCGAGGAATGCTACCTTGAAAGTAGTTTCCCTGCATTCGCAAGATTCTTAATTCAGAAATCTCACCAAATTGCTCAGGAATTTCGCCTGAGAAATTGTTGTTATCAACATATAATCCTACAAGATTCTTTGAGTTACTAATATCTGATGGAAAGCTACCATTGAAAGAGTTGTGGGACAAATTCAGAGTAATCAAACTTTGAAAAGCAGCAAGCAGCTGATCAGGTATGGTACCGCCGAGTTTATTTAGAGAAAGATCCATCTTCTCCATATCTTTGCATCCCCTGAGTGTCGATGGAATCCTTCCCCGAAAATTGTTACCGTTTAAGTAAAGGTACAACAATCGAGAAAGATTGCCAATGGAGGATGGAATTTCACCAGATAAGTGATTCGAAGAGATGTCAAACTGTCCAAGGTTCTGAAGATGTCCAATGGAAACAGGAAGTTCGCCTGCAAGCAAGGTTTCCCCTAAATAAACATCCGTAAGCCCATAAAGATTACCAATTCCTCGAGGAATGCTTCCAGAAATCGGATTCCCTCCCATGTAAAGAGCTTCAAGCTTGGATGATAAATTTGCCACAGTGTCCGGAAACATCCCACCTAATCTATTCCCATGGATGATCAAATATAGCAATCCAGTGCAATTTCTTAGAGAAGAAAGAAAATCCAAGTCCCCTGCTATCCCAAGTTCGAGATCGTTATTGTGAACGTCGAACAGCAAAAGATTACGAAGCTTTCCGAGATCGTCGGGAACTAATCCACTGAAACCATTTGAGTTGATGTCAAGCCGCTTTAGGCAAGAGATATTAACGACTGATCTCGGAATCCTTCCAGTGAATCGGTTTTGTCCAAGAAACAGAGTGTCAAGGTTCGGAAAAGCGAAACCGAGCCGAGGTGCAAGGCCACCAGATAAGTTATTTCGAGCCATACTAACATGTGTGAAAGAGGAAGGATTGTAGATAGAACTAGGTATGATACCGAACAGGTTATTATCAGCAATGGAAAATATTTTCAAGCTCGATAATCTACCTAAAGCATCGGGTATACCTCCTTCCAAATGGTTATATTCTAGTCTGAGATAGTCCAATGATGACAAGTTTCCCAAAGAAGATGGAATTCCCACAACTAAATCATTTCTAGCAACAGACAGTTTGATCAGATTCTTCATATTATCCCCCAATCCAAAGGGAATTTCTCCAGAAAGACTGTTATAACTTAAATTAAGAAATACAAGGTTTGAGCAATTGCCAAGTTCCATAGGAATGTTACCTTGGAGATTATTCTGGCTTAAATTTAGAGAACGAAGCTGTCTCAATTGTCCGAATTCAGTCGGGATACTGCCTTGCAAACTGTTATTGAATAGGCTAGCCTCCCTTAGGAAGCTCAAATTCCCAATTGATGGAGATATGGAGCCGCCAAGTTTCATACCAGGCAGGCTCAAACTGATGACCTTTGATGCCGCCGACCACATCGAACGCCTTGCCACTCACAAAAATGGAGAGAAGCATTCCATGAATGTAGACCACCAACAAGCTGATCCTTGAGAGCAAGCAAAGCTAGTCTGTCTGTTTCGTTCCCCATGGCCGCCATGCCAAGCTTGAAGGAAGTAGATACCAATGTGATCACTGCAGCAATGCAAAGCAAGAAGCTAATGTGGGCAATACAATTGATTTTCAAGCTTGATTTCTCCATTATCAGCTGTGATTTCTTTCTTTCTTCAAGGTTTAGCAACAAGTCTGATTACAAGCAAAGAATGGTCCATTGACATTTTTCTAATTACTCATTAAAGTCACAATCAAAGAGAATTTAGATTCAAAACTTAGAGACAAATTACTGGCAAAAAGTCATATATCATTTTCCCATTATTTCAATTTCCAAAGTAGTATGAATACAAATCTGGACTTTAATGTTAAATCACTTTTCCTTGAGACGTGGACCTGGACGTATAATGAATGGTGGAGGCTATAAGTCGCTAGTATTGAACGTTTCGACGACTCCTGGAGGTAGAAAGGAGGAAACATTAAAAGGTTTTTTTTTTATAGTCTTGTTCACAAAGTTTAAATATTAAAATTATATATAATAAAAATATTTAATAAATTTATACCTTAAATAATTAATTGTCTAATTGAAAATATATTATAAATGATCCAAATGAAGAAAACCTATTATTTCAAATATAATTCTATCCAAATGAACATAAATTAGCAAATATTTAAGTGTCATTACCACTACTTTAACAGACAAATATTAATATTAATATTAATATTTTTTCCTTATGAAAATAAGAACAAACCAAGTATAATCATAAAATTCCAGAAAAAATTATTTCGATAATAGTTCTTCAGTTTAGTCAATCTGAAAATATGAATTGATGATAATATTAAACATTTCGATGACTCCTGGAGGTAGAAAAGAGGAAACATCTGTCCATAGAAAAAAAAAGGTGCTTAAGTCGTTTGTAAGTGGATCCATGATCCATCTGTTTACTTGCCTACTCGCTCTTGCTATGGGGCGAAGAAATTGACATCAGGCCCCGGTTATATACAACTTTTCAACGTCTTGGAACTTACCCCACAATTTCTCTAAATTTTACTTTTCTCCCCTACAATATATCTTGACAAGGGTATTTTTGTAATTTTACCCCATAATGCTATTTTTGGTAAATTTTTATCCAAATATTCCCAACATTTAACCTTTAACGAGATTAATCAAAATTTACGAGTTATGAGATTTAATGATTTACTAATTAAATCATTGAACTAAGATTTGTTTCCGATCTGTCTACCAATTTCTTTTTCGAGCCGTCAGAGTCTTATACAGTGTTCCATCTTTATTCCAATATCTGTCTGAGTCCAATGATAATTAAATACACTCATTTATATTCATGCATTTACCATTTATTAATTCGTTCCAAAAAGTATACAAAAGGTAGTAGAGTATTACCTCGATTATCATGCTCCATCGATCAAACATTTAAATTTGATTCGATCACTCTCAAACTTGAATTCAACGTACAATAATTCCTCAGATATATAGCAATTTTACGTCAGAAACTGGACTTAATTGAGAAACTAAATTGAATCTGAAGGTAAAACACTGAAAAACGGCTTACCGAGTACGAATTTGGCTAAACATACTTCGGATTCGGACTCAGGACGTCGAAAAACATAAAATAGGACTTTCTGGAAAATTTTCCTTTTTTGGTCAATGTAATCGATCAACGATCAGATCGGACAATGTCAATAGTCAGACCGGTCAAAGTCAACGAGTCAGGTCAAAGTCATCGGGTCGGATCAAAGTCAAAGAGTCGGGTCGGGTTGCCTTGGTTCGAGTCAAACAGACCCGGTTCAGTCCAGGTTGGGCTGGTTCAGACCGATCCAGATCAGTTCTAGAATGTTTCCAGGGCAGGGTAGGAAGCCCTCGCTCACGCAGAGGCACGTAGTGGCATGTGGCAATAGCGACAGGCTTGGGGTGGTCGGTCGATTACTCCACTAGCATCTACACACCATTTCAGACCAAAATCAAACAAAAAAATCAACCAAACAGAGCTAAATCAACCGGAAACATTCGGGACTTAACCACGCCGGCGATGGAGGGAAATCGGCGATGACAGCCTCACCCACTGGTCGGGTTTTGATCGTACGGAGCTTGGGAGTCTTCCTAGGGTGGCGGTGAGGCGAGACGACGACAGAGGCGGTCGGAATCGACGAAAATCGGGGATGGGGGTTTTTGACGAAACCTTAACAGTTCCTTACTGACTAATGATGGCACCTTTCGACTAATTGGTTGAGGGGTTTCGTTCGGGCGATGATGACGTCTTCACTAGGACGAGTGATGATGTGTAGCGCCAGCCGGAGGAGGGAGAAACGAGGAGGAAAGTGGTGGGTTGGTTTTGAGGTTTATGGATTACACGGGTTCACTAATACCTGGGAAAATGGGTTTTAGTTTTTATTTTTGGTTCAGATAGGTTATGGGAAAATTATAGGTCTAGTCCCTAAATTTCCCAAACTTTCAAATTTAACTTAGAAATCTTTAAAATTATTCATTTTAGTCCCTCAATTAAATACAATAAAATCTAGCACCTAAATTAAGGTGTGACATTAACTCTCAAACCCTATTTCTGATTTCACATACCATAACTTGATATTTTTGATAAAATACAGTTTAATTAAAAGTATCCGATTTTAGGTGTTCCAATCTCACCTTAAAAATGATTGGTGGTGTTTCTCATCTTTTCATAAAAACCTTTTATTTTCCAAAAACTCGGATCGGTCTTCATATCGAAAATCAGTTACGACACATGTAAAAATTAAACTCCTTAATCATATTTATTTGAATTTCAACCCTAAAACATGAACTCTAAACTACAAATTTAAAAAAGATAAAAATTAAACTCATAAATCATATTTATTTGAATTTCAACATATATATAATTGTGAAATCAATTGAGTAGTGATTTTAGTAGTAAAAGAAAATATTGTTCGTTTAAAGGACATAGATTTAATTAGTTGCGTTTATAGGAAGTATATGCGTTGATAATAAGTTAAAAAAATAAACATATGATACCTTGTAATCATCCAACTCATATGTATCGATTTTTTTATAATTTACTATTAGTATGTTATTTAGTACAACATTATTAAATACAATGTCTGAAATCATTTTCTATTATGAATATGTAACACTTAATTCGAAGACGATGAATCAAACTCGGTTCAATATGTAAACCTTCAAGAGGCATTATCATCATTAAAGTTAGGATGAAAGCCATAGCAACTAGTTTTGCAAAAAGGAACAGATTAGGGTTCATTTTGGAGAGGTTCTTTTTAGAACTAATGAGAGGAATTGGCGACGATGTTCACTTGGCTACTGGCTCTTGCTATGGGCGTACTCATTGAAGAAATTTGATCAACTCATCCAGATCTGATATTCCATTTAGAAGAAGCGAAACAGATCCCTTTCTTCCAAGATTTGATATTCCCTCAGTGACAATGGAACAAGTCTGCCCCGATTCAATCTTCCCTGAGTGATGGCAAAATGGATCAACATCCCCAGATCTGATATTCCCTGAGTGAAAGCGAAACAGGTCCCTTATCATATTTCAAACCATGAAGTTGACCGGATGAAAAACACATTGTCCCTTCGTCTTTGCCCTATTCTTGTTGACTCAAGAATGAGCAAAGAGGGGCAGCTGTCGACACTCATTTTTTGTCTCATTCGATATTATTATTATTATTATTATTATTATTATTATTATTATTATATTATTATTATTATTATTATTATTATTATTATTATTATTATTATTCAGATCCAAGTACAGCAGCCCAAAATCAGACACAATTACATAACCCAAAACCCGGAGCCCAGAGACAGATCCAACCCCGGTTCGACCCGACCCGAGACACGTTTTGAAGCCCAAACCCATCAGGGTTTTCCATCTTAGCTCCTGCCACACTGCAACACCCATGCTGCCTCACCTCTACATCACCAACCGAACACCATGCCTCCACCAACTCACTATGCCCTGTCATGGCAAAAAATCAGTAAGCAAATCCACAAACAATCCCAAGCGAAAACACACGCAAGCTTCCTATTTTGTAAAAAAATTCATAGCAAAAAGCAAAAAGAAAAAAGCAAGTAATATATGTAAAACGTGGGTTATATAAACTCAAACGAAATCTGTAATAGAGGTTCCACTCTTTTGGATTTTCGAAATGAATACAAAAAAAATTATTAACCATTCGAAAGGTATTTTTATTTTCTTTTTTATTTACGTTCTAATAAGAAAAAAAATATAAAACTCTTGCATGTAAACAAAATCAAAGTCTAAAGGAGAGATTAGTTACCTGAATCGGAGGGGAGACGATTCATCTTCGCCGGTTGCCGGAGTGAGTAAGAAGCCAAGTGGTCGAGGCTTATTTGGGGCGTTTAGGTGGATTTTTAGGTCTAAAATTAGTGTTAGAGTATTAGATCGGGCTCAAAATATTGTTTTGGGTGAGTTTGGGAGGTTCGACCACCGTGCACGGCGGCCGGAGCTGCAATCGGACGACAACCGGAGCGTAGTCGGACTGCAAACGGTGGTGGTTTGGGGCGGCCGGTAGTGGGTCGACTGACTGCTTTGAGAGGAAAAACGAGAGAGAGTTTTTTTTAGTTTTGTTTGCAAAATGAAAAAAAGACTAAAGTAATATATATAGGGTGAATCTCGGGGGAAATTTCACATAAGTCCCCTGAGTTTTAGCGTGTTTTTACATAGAGGTCACTAGGGGGACCATTTTTGTTATTTTCCCACTTTATATTCGTGTTTTAAAGTTTTTGGTTTAATCTCGTTTTGTTCCCCCTACTTTTAGCACATTTTCGCTTGTTAGTCCTTGTAGGGACTGTTTTTGTAATTTACCTTTTTTATGCATGATATTTATTTTTAGGGATATTTTCTGTGTAGCCCTCTGTATTTTTTCATTTTTATATTTCGAACCTGAATATATGTTTTTAT